TGTCCTCTGTTTTAGTATTGGTTTCGGTTTCACTATGGCGGTTTGGCCGACCATAGGGTACGATACATACATACATACATATACATACGAACTCAAATATAGATTAGATTATAGTAAACGGTGTGGAATTTTAATATAATGTATATAGCTGTCGTAATACCGGATAAAGTAACCTTTATGAGGCATTCGTTCAACGTACTGCCTTTTATATTAAGAGTAAACACGTTATTTTATTGCGTGTAAATCTATATTCGGCCTGAGCGCAAGCTACACGGGAATTTTATGGAATACAATGAACGCTGATAACATGCAGTCTTTTCGAAATTATGAATGCATTATTTAGTACTCAGCGTGCCAGGCTTATCCCGTTTCCTTCTCGTTGAAAATTGAAATTGAAGATGCGTAAAAAATAGGGTATTACACTATATGCGCTGGTGAACAGCCGAACACGAGTTCAAGAGTTGCCTTCGGCATTTCTTACAGTAATTATAATCGACCGCAATGCGAAATGTCAGGCCAAGTACCTCGCTAATTACGGCTAAGATGCCAATTACTTCCGGCAAGAAAATTCTTGGGTGAGTGAGAAGTGAGACACGTGAATCTAGTAACAGATGTCTAGTTCCAGATGAAGTGATCGAGGAAACACTCTAATGTCTCCATTTACCGCGTATAGTCGCATACGAAAATGTAACCACTACTGCTCCAAATCTGATTAAATAAAGGTTTCGAACGAAAATAAGATTACGACGACTCTTTCCATTAAAAATTTCTTTTTATAGATACGCCCACACCCGACAAATTTATCCTTCGAATTACAGTTCACAATCTACCCGACTCGGCACACGAATCACCGGCGCGGACAGAAAGATAAATATGGTCGGCGAAATGAACTAATCCAATCGTGGGCACCTGGCTGGAACAGCCAGAAATCCATCGGCACTGCGCACTCTCCGCAATAAAAAACTCAACATTTCCCGAGCAATCATCACTAATGGTTTCTAAAAGCAGCCGGAAGCAAGGCGCGTGCGGCAGAGTCGGCTACTGCGCGCGCGGCAACCGGCGGCCTTTCTGCCTGACGACAGGAAACCACTGCGGCTCCTTTTCATGCTCGCCGCCGCGATTACGGTACAATCAAGCCAGGAAGGATACGGCCTCGCTGAGCGGAGACCCGCGTGTTTGCGTTCGCTACACGATGCAATGGCACGCCGTGTGTCATGAAGCCGGACGACGCTATTGGAGCCGCGACCACGCCCGCGACCACGCCCGCGACGCGCCGTCACATGACGCGGGCGCGACACGAATGCTCACTTATTTTTGCAACGATACGAACGCTCGTGTTTTCAGCAACAGCCATGCACGCGCTGTAATTTCACGGCTTGGTAGCTTGCCGTTCGTTATAGTCGCTGGCGTTCTAATGCTCACTTCTTTCAACTTCTTTCTTTCTTTCTTTTTTTCTCTCTCACAATTCTTTCTCTTTTTTTGCATTCAAATAATTATAGGAGATGCGTAAGTAGCATGACGACTGTAATTGCAAATAGCCTACATGGTTATATATTTATAGCCCTAACGATATGGTTCCAATTCGGCCTCTTCGCACGCGGATTAGCATGCGGGCAGACGCCCGTGAAATGTAGGCCTACGCACGTTCACCTACCTAACCGTACGTAACCTCACGTATACTGCATGAACGATATTTAACATTAACCCCCCCCCCACACACACACACACACACCGCCCCCACACACACATACAGCAATTGTTAATGTTGAAATTACCACACTAACTTAACATATTTGTCGTGCGCGCATGACCGCTTCCATTACGTTTCGCTAGAAAGGAATAGAAAATGGCGCGCGCTGGCTTCCGTGGAGGGACGCTGAGCGATGTGCGTTTGCGCCAGAGGAGCTGCTGAGAGATGCACTAGCGGTTATTCTCTCTCTTTGTTTGCATGCGTGCTGACGAAAAACGGCCCCTGGCCTCGACAAACAAGCGACAGCGCCCAAATCCACTAGACACGCACGCGCGCGCACATACACACGCAAGCGGGAAAGACGTTTGGCCCGGAATCCGCCCATGTGCGCGGAAATATGAGCACACAGAATATGAGATGAGTGGCGTGATGAAAATTTGCAATTTCTTACCCGCGCTCTTTCTTCCTCCCCCCTCCTCGTTCTATTTCCCATCCCCTTCAGGGTGCGAAATTAACGGGAGTCCGGAGTCAAATACTCCCCGATTTACTGTCGGACTCCCTGATTTGACATATGCAGGAGTCGGTGTGACTCCCTGAAAATTCTGCGATACTAACTAGTTCGTTCCGGAGCACGGCCTCGCGGAATTATCGTATTTTTCAGCTAATGTCCCAAGAAAAGTTGGCAGACGTGCAACTGCATGAATCTTAAAAATAAGCACATGCGTTATTGTTAATATCTTTAATTTTGAACCTCAGACTGCGGACTCCCTCATTGTGCTGTGGACTTCCTCTTTTTGAAGGTAGGAAGTCCGTTAGACTCCCGTGTTCAAAAGTTAATTTCTACCCCTCCCCTTGCTACTTCTCTTTCTCTTTCCTCCTTTCCTACATCTCTCCTTCCCCTTCTCCCATCTTTCCGCTCCCCTCCCCTTTTTGTTCCTACCTCCCATCTCTCTGTCTCATATACTTCCCCCTCCTCCCCCACTCACAGTCCCTCATTTGAAAATTAATAATCGGACGAGTGTCTCCCATCAATCTCACAACTCGTATCTTGCTTGCAGCTGCCTGCATGCCGGTGGGCCGGCCGCACCGCCTAGCTGTCGTGTGCAGACTGAGACGTTTCACATTATCATAACTAAGCCATCTCATTATCATGTACTCTTAATTTTAAATTGTTGCTCGCTATCGAGATGCTTAGAGATAATATTAACGACCTCACTGCAGCCCCGAGAATTAGCTTGAAGCAAGGAAACCGATTGTTACACATAAAATATTATATTAAAATAAAACTCTTAAATTATTATGGATAGGCCAACAACATGCAGTAGCTGGAATTTCGATTCCTGTTGGTCAACTATATAGATGAAGTTATAGAATTGGTTTTGTCATCTGTTTGCTTTACACGTACGTTCAAAGCTGCAGGTAAAACTAAATTGTCTAATTTATTACATGATAACTATATATATTTCACTACCGTAATACCCACAGAACTGTACTCATGGCTTTTATTTCTTGTTTACTGTTCAGCTGATTAAAATTTCAATATCACATTTCCCTTCATACTCTCGACGTTTGCCCCTCTAAAAATACTCATATCATTACTTTTGCCAGTAATGAGGTAGCAGGTGGTTGCATGTGTATTAATGCAATAAACATTGCACACTTGGGTTAATATTAAACCGGTTTCCCCCATTTCTCGTAAGTGTAGGACATAAAATTACCTACCTTATAGCCTAGTTCAGCCATTCAGCCGCATATTTATCTCACAGAACTCGACC